AAATGCCTCTATCCACTTCTCACGGTCTGCTGGAACCCCATTTCCGTAGTCAACGTCCTATTAAAGCCATCCCGCTACTTGTGAAGGCTTCTGTGACGTCATTTCCAGAGTCGAATGCTGCAGGTGCCCTCACATTAGGCCATGGGATGAAGTTGAAGCGGCGCGAGTGCGCCAAGCGTCTTTCAATCCTCTTCTCGTCGGATGGAGGACGCACCCCCTTCCGTCTTCAGCACCAAATTTGGCAGGCAACGTGTACGGTTAGCAAATGATGTCAAACATGGAGGTAGTTTTTTTTTTTCGTCGTTTTTTTTTTAGTTCCTTTTATTCTTTTTGGGGGCCTCAGGAGCGTTGCTGTGAGAGCTAAAACACATCGACACCAACAGCAACGGTTTGACTTCTTTTTGATAAGTGTATGTGTGTGGCTATATGGAGGAGCACCGGCTTGCAGGTCAGAGAGTTGCAGCGCTGCGTCCTGACGGGGCTGGTTTTGCTCTCCCGCACGACTCCTTTTTCTGCTTCTTTTCTCTCCATCCATCTTTGCTCCCGATGGGCTGCCCTGCCGGGGACTGGTGTGGAAGCTTCTTGGCTTGCAACAAACACAAGCATGCACGCACTCCCAGCTGCTGTGGCAATGCCCGTTCGAGTAGTTGCCACGCTTCTCCCCGCAGACGGTCTCCGCCGTGACGGAGGCGATGCTGGTGTGCAACAAGTAGTGGATGCATTTGCCGCCGTGCGCCGCGCAATTTGCACGGTTTGCCTAGGGAGATCTAATTTGCCCTCGTTGTTTGTGTGGGAGGGTGCCGTGATGCATCACGCTTGCGTTGTGTGCGGGATTGGGGGTGCCTGTGCGTGTTTGTGTGTGTGAGGTGTGTGCCGCGTGCCGTGTGTGGGTGACCCTCTCTTTTTTTTTTCGTTGCGGCTCCGTGGAGTCTTGCCTGTGCTTATTTTGTTTCTCTTTTCTCCCTCTCACTCTCTTTTTGACTGGTGCCTAGTGCCCAGCTGCAGCTCAGGCCAAGCCAAAAACAAAATACGAAGGAAACAATGCCTGCAAAGGGAGAGAGGGTGTATGCTGGTAATAGGAAGCAGCGTCCCGCATCTGATGTGCCACAGGGAGGAGAGCGTCAGGTGATGTTGGGGTTTGATGGCAACAGCCAACAACCCGCACCGCAGCACCGAAGAGTGGAGGAAACTCTGCAGCAACCAAAGTGGACGCTTCAAGCTCTATCGAGGATGTCCGTAATGTGCGTGTTGGCCAAAGCAATATATTTTTGCTGAACGACTTCCTTCGGCAGTACGTTGGCCCCAACAGAGCGGTGGGTGAAGACCAAAATGTGGTGATGGAGGTGTTTGTGCAGAAGCCCGCAGAATACGTTACGGAGCAGAGACGTCGTGAGGGAATCCTCAATTCCACCAGGATATCAGCTTTTTGAAGATGCACGCAAGCTTACGGAGCGCATGGTGGGCACGCTGCGAGACTGGAAGGAGTTTACAGATAATGAGTATTGTCTCTGCTATTACACGGACAAAACTGAAGGCAGCTCTTCAACTAGCGTAGGAGGAAGGGGCAACACGAGAAACCGAAATACGCCCCAGAGGACCATCACCGGAGGCATTCTACGAGTCCGTGTTTAACGCAACGTGGAGTCACGTCGTGGGATTTCCTGAGGGCGAAGGGGAAGACGTGGTGGTGATAGAGGGCCAACGGCCACAAGAGTTATTATGGATGGGAGTACACGCAGACTGTGCGTACTTTTTTCTCAGTGGGTGGTGATGAGGAGCAATTCTATCCACCACGCCCACGACTCATGATCCTTTCCTCTGAAAAGCTATGGCCGTACTCGCTGAACCATGCAGTGCCTACTACCGACTGCTACATTAACATTGAGGTGCATCGGGTGTGGAAGATCGTCGAGGGCGATCTAAAAGGAGTGTTTCCCCCTCACGTATAAGCGCACCATACATGAGACGCCGTCTTTTGGTTGGAACTTCTGGGGTAGGGAAGTCAATGGCGGCTGGCTCCTACCTCCTTTATCAGCTGCTGCGCTACGACGGCACGAAGCTCCATGTGGTTGTGTACTGCTTTGGAAGGAATTTCGCATACTTGTCTGACAAGAGGGCACGAACGGTGACAAAATATGAGGGTGGGTGTAATATTGGAAGGGCTATGATAAATTTGGCTGGGAGTGGAATGAAGGGGTATATCATCATCGATATGGCAAGACAATTTAACGAACCATCGAATGATTTTGTGCCCTCCCCTGAGTGGGGCATCATTATGTTGTCATCCCCGCACGAAGATAACTTCAAAGCATGTGCGGAGCAGGAGGGTGCTATCAAAATCATCATGAATTGCCCCGATGAAAACAACGTGAAGGCGATGTGTGCGTGGAGGACGCGCAATACGACTGAAGAGGAGCAGGTGGAGTATTGGAGAAGGATGCACATGCGCATGGATGACGTCGGACCGATTTCACGATGCATCTTTCAATTCAATGAGTATGAGGACCGCGTGGAGGAAATCAAGAACATCCTGGAAGGTATCGACGCTTCAAATGCTAAACATTATGGGATGATTGGAGGTATGGAAGAGTGACCCTCGAATGAGGCTTCTCACAAACTTGTGAAAGTTGTCAGATTAATAACACAAAAAGATGTTGAGGAGTTTGTTAACCTGCCGGTCTGTTTTTCCATTGGAAACAAAGTAATTGGAAGGTTGCTCGAAGTGGATGAGGAGAATGACATTATTTTGTGACTAAGCAAGAACTATAAAGTCTTATTGCCGGAACTTTTAGGGCGGTGCACTCTTCACGTATTCCTGAGTAGAGGCTTTGTGGAAAATGTAGTGCCGTGCCTCAACGAGTTGCCTTCACCAGGACGTCGTCGGCGACAGAGATGTGTGCTGCAATCGAACCTCGAAAAGCATCCAAGCATACCCGTTGCATTAATAACGCTGGGCTACAATCCTCCGATGTTGGATGTACAATACGAGGTGCTATACGTACCGAAGAGCAGAACTTTTCCGCTTGTGGACGGTTTTTTCTTCGTTGGTGCACCGCGGAGGACGATGGTTGCGGTGCAGGTGTGACGACGAGGGCTGAACATGGCACCAAAACCAGCACGGTGAGGCAGTTCAACAATCTTCCACGGAGTTATTTTAATGACTGGGAAACGTTTGCGGAAGGCTTGTCGTGGGGGATTATTTACGTGCAGCATGAGGACAGTACGACAATAAACGCGTAGCAGGGATGTGTTGTCGTCACGCACGCAAATGTAACGGGCAGCAATGAGCGTGAGGACCCTCAGGCCATTGCGGCATTTTGGAATCAGCAAGTGCGTCAGTGCCAGCTAGCGGTATCAGCTGAAAATTTCAGAAGTGAACGACAAACCCAACGTGGGCGGCAACGAGAGGGAGAAGGAAAAGGAGGAGGGGAATAAACAGCTTGAGTTTACTGGTGAAATATTTTAGGGAGTATGATATATTGCCGAGTGTGTTTGTGTGTGGGTAGGAGGCGTAATTAGGGACTCGCTCTGCCGTGCGCCAAGTGATTATTATGGCCAGCGCTACCACAGCAGCACCTTTTTTTTTGTTGTGGTTGTGTTGTGGTTGCGAGTAAAATTGTGTGGGGAATGATGGCGCCTTGTGGGTGTACGCCAGCAGTATTCCATTGGTGATATCTCCTCGCTGTTCCCAGTTTGTTGCTGCAGAGAGTTTGGGCGAGAGGGTAAGTTTTGCATGCTGAGTGGACTCACAGGCGGGAAAGCAAATGCGGCGGCCACCACAGCCCAGAGGTCAGGGGCAAACCGAATTATTGTGATTGTTTTTGCGCCTTGGCGTGGTGTTTTTCCCTATTGGTTTTTTTGGGTGCCATTGTTTTTGGTTCGTCTGTGCTCCAATGGGGGGTGCCGCATGCGCCGCTGAGAGCCTCGAGCAAACACCGTTGGCGCCTCTCTTTTGTTGGGTTGCCGTCCTGGGCACATGCGCTTGTTCCGTCTTGTTCGGGTTGCAAGCACTGACCAGGCAGTCTGAGGCTACGGCTGCGCTGGCGTGTCGCCCTCGCTTGTGAGCCGAACGAGGCAGCAGGAAAGGGGGCTGCATACGTCGTTATTTTTTTTTTGATATATATATGTTTTTAATGTTGCGCTCCACTCCTGCTGCGGTGCGCTGAGGGGAGTGGGGGGGGGGCGTTGGGGAATTTGTGGGGGCCGTGATTGGAGGTCCCGCCGTCATGCGCACTGCGTGGTGCCGCTGGCGGGATTTGAAGGGGCTGGACGGAGGAGACGGTAAACGAGGTGTTCATGAATTTGTTTTTTATTTTTATTTTTGATTTCTGCGGGAGGTGTCCCACACTGCCGACTCTCCGTGCGAGTGCGTGTGGGTGGGTGTTTCTTCGGGCGGCGGCGAGTGTGTGATCGTGCGGCCCATGCGTTCGTTGGTGCGGTCTTTGTTTTTTGGATTGTCGCTGTTGCTTGCGGGATGCCCAACTGTGGGCGCAGGCGGTGCCTATCATTGTATTTTTTATTTTTATTTTTTTCATGTGGTTTTACCTTATCTTTCGCTCTCTTCCGCAAACACACGAAGAAGAGACACCAAACGCTACTTGTTGTTGTGCACATTGAAAGGCTCTGCAGTCACCACCAGCACCACACACACACACACAACCG